CAAGTGTGGCTCCCTGAGCTGAGACCTGAAAGAAGCCTTGGAGCAGCCACTCTGTCACAGACGCAGGGCTCAGGATGAGGGCAGAGTGGGCAGGAATGGGGCGGGCACTGTGCAGCCCAGGATGACCTGGACAGACCCACTCCATGCTGCCCTGCGTGCCCATGTGGCCACCTCAGTCTTCCCAGGGCAGACTCCTGTGTCCAGGCAGCGTGGGGCTCAGTGCTGACCCTGTACGGAGCTCGGGCCTCAGGTCCTCTGCAGGGCACAGAATCCAAGATGGATGTGTGGAGACCATCTGATTCATGGATGGATGGGGACAGGCAGAGACAACTAGAGAAATGGGGACAGCACAGGAAGACCACTAGACAGCGTCCTCAGAACTATGGGCTCAGCACCCCGGAGAGGCAAAGCCTAAATGACCTGTGTGGTGACCTGTGCTCAGTACTGCAGGAGACAAAGCTCAGTGAAAGTCCAGCCTGGGAGAGCTGCAGACCCACAGACCCCACGCATGGGGCTCCTTGCCCAGGTGTGCCCAGTACCGTGTGTGTGTGTGTGTGTGCACACGCACGAGACCTCATGTGTGCATGACCACACTGTGTGCACACCTGTACACAGTACAATATATATGTGCGCAGATGAGAGCAGTGCTCCATGTGCAATAAGAGCAGAGAGCTCAGGTCATCCCTGCTTCCCAGAACAACGATGCTAATGGTCCTCTCCAGCTGTTGTTATATGTCTCACTGGGAAACACATATAATAGACCCTATGGAGAGATCAAGGAGTACAGCTCTTCACAAAGACTAAGTCAAAAACCAACAAAGTAAGCACCAGAAAGAGGGTACTGGGAGTGGAGAGATGAGGGGCAAATGGTAGAAGAATGAAGGAGACAACGTGGAGAACGCAAGCAAGAATACAGTGCCTATGCCACAGAATTGAGAATACTGAGCTAAGGGTGGGTCAAAGGGGAAAGGTTAGGAAGGAATGACGCAGATCCACATGCCTTGTATACATAAACTGCTTTGTTCAATGATGTCAACATATATTTTCTAAAAGTTCAGCAAAGAGAGGGAAGAGGAGGTTGGAAGGGTGGGCAAGAATGTTGAAAGGGGCAACATTGATCAAGCCTCAGTGTACTCATAAACTGCCTCACTGAATGGCAATGCCTTTATAGAGCAACTTAAAGATCCAAGTGTTTTATTTTGTTTTTCATTTAAATTTTTAAAAACATTTTTGTGTAGTTGATGTACAGAGCGGTTACAATTATGTGAGTCAGGTACAATCAGTGCAGTTCTTTATGAACCATTCTTCCTCTCTGTCCCTTTCTCCCAATCCTTCCCTCCTGTCCTCACCCATGAGATTTCCAGTTCATTTTCTATACACTGTCTGGTGAGTATCACTGTTATATTTGTTCGTCTTTGTTCCAGCTTTTATGTGACCCCCTTATCTTCCCAAATACAAGCAATTAATAAACAATACAAAAGGAAGAGGGAAAATGTTTATTAAAAAGCAATGTCTCAGCAATCTTGACTAATGGAAGCAGAGTTAACCTTCTCTAAAGAAGTTCATATTCAATCACAGGTTTACTTGAAACCAATTGATTAGAGACATTTCACAGTTTATCCACTCAACTAACAAACTCTGTCTTCCACCTGCATCTCCTCTGTGCACTGCCCTCCTGAGACTTCTGCCCCAGAGCTGCTTCATAGCAGAGGACATGCAAATAGAACGTCCCTCTGCCCATGAAAACCAGCCCATCCCTGACCTGAGATCTGTGAGCTGATTCCACCAGTGACTGAGCACAGACCACCACCATGGAGCTGGGGCTGCACTAGGTTCTCCTTGTTGCTCTGTTGAAAGGTGATTTATGGGGAGCAAGGGAAACTGAGTGTGCAAATGGACATGAGTGGGAGGAACAGTGGATGTGTGTGACCATTGCTGACCAGGATTCTCTGTGTTTGCAGGTGTGCACTGTGAGGTGCAGCTGGTGGAGTCTGGGGGAGGCTTGGTGCAGCCTGGGGGTCCCTGAGACTCTCCTGTGTAGCCTCCGGATTCACCTTCAGCAGCTATGGCAATGCACTGGGTCCACCAGGCTCCAGGGAAGGGGCTGGAGTGGGTATTGGTTATACAGTATGATGGAAGCCAGCAAAAATACGTGGAGTCTGTGAAGAGCTGGTTCACCATCTCCAGAGACAACTCCAAGAACATGCTGTACCTGCAAATGAGCAGCCTGAAAGCAGAGGACACAGCCACGTATTTCTGTGCTGCACACTGTGCATGGAGTTCAGTGAGAGCCCAGACACAAACCTCCCTGCATTGGGCTCTGGCCTGCATGGGGCGCTCAGCACACAGGAAGCTCAGGCTCATTCCCAGGGCCAGGAGCAGAGGGAAACTTCCAGCTGTGCTCCTCTGTGTCTGCCCTGCCTGTGCTCATCCTACCCCAGTTCCACTCTGTGTCTGCACTGCTGCTGTGAGGTATAGGATGCCACTTCCTGAACAAACACAGAGAATAAAACACTGGTGTAATTGACTTTGCCATATTCACCAAGATCAGATCTGAGGAAGGCTAGAGATGAAACACACAACGCAAGATGAAGCCAAATATAATCAAAAACGCTGCCAACAAATCTCCCAGAAACATTGAGACATAATGAAATATAAAGTGTTTCACGATATACAGAATTCAAGAATATCAGCAAACATTTATTACTATATCAAATTTAAACTGTATATCAATGTATTGCTAGATTTTAGGCAACTAGCAGCAGCTTAGGCTAGCTACCATCATCTACATGAACATGCCAAGGTGTGTGATGCTATGATATTACAACAACCACAAGTTCACTAAATAATAGGAATGTTTTATCTACACCATAATACTGTGGGACAACTTTATAAATCCTGAGCATCACTGCCCAAACATTGTTGCTCAGATCTACGTGTTCTGATCAGAAAGTTGGCAGAAAGATATAGGGCAAAGACCATTCTGATGTTGCTCAGATCGAAATTAGGGTCAGGGTAGTGGAGCATGTAACACAGGACATCCTAGGGAGAACATGGCAGAAGTGGCTGAAGTACGTTCACATCTTGGATGACTGTAGAAGTCCACACCCTGGGGAAGCCAGCAAGCTATGGGAGTCTGAATCTCTCAGCATCGTCAAGCATTCAGGCAGGGCAGACAGAGAGGAGCACAGCTGGACGTTTCCCTCTGCTCCTGGCCCTGGGAATGAGCCTGAGCTCCCTGTGTGCTGAGCACCCCATGCAGGCCAGAGCCCAATACAGGGAGGTTTGTGTCTGGGCTCTCACTGAACTCCATGCACAGTGTGCAGCACAGAAATACGTAGCCGTGTCCTCTGCTTTCAGGCTGCTCATTTGCAGGTACAGCATGTTCTTTGACTTGTTGTAATATAAATGTGAGAAGAGGAAACAGGATAATGTAGTCAGAAAGAATCAATGGGTAACAAACAAAGAGTTCTATTAGGAGGTGCCGCAGTACAGCTGTAGCCAGAAGAACAAATCCTAAGATTTGCTGTGGACAGAGAGAGGCCGGGACTGCTGACCAGGAAAACAGAAATGAGAACCAAGGACATTTCAGAAGCAGCCACCCCCAACCCAGACCCACACTGCAGCACCTTCTGTGTTCTGCTAAGATTTTAACATAACACACACACACACACAAACACACACACACATTATGAACGTCACCCTCAGGGACTGAAATGACTAAAGGGACATCAGGGTCTCAGATCCGGAGGGAGGATCTGTCCTGTTCAACCCCAGGCCCAGGGCCTGCACCCTTTCCACTAGGCCCCATTCAGAATATTCTCTTCTTCTCTGTGCTGATGTGTTGGGGACCAAGACCTGACCTTCCACTTGGACCTCCCAGGTATGGAACCCAGAAACACAACCCTCCTGACACTTTTTATTCAAGTTTAAGTAAGAAACAACAACTGTCAGTATTATTATATAATGGTCCCATATTAATGACTCTGCACACACATCAATAATTGGTCAGGTCTCCCAGGCACATCCATGTGCACATATATCAACAACTGCCAGGTCTCCAATGAAGACACATGTAAATCAAGACTTTCTATGCAGAATATAGAGCCCATGGAATAGCTAATTGATAATTTGGATTTTATATCATGATCAATAAAACATGTAACTTGAAACTCATCAAATTTCTGCTCAAGTGGCAGATAAGTGAATGACAGGCTGTGAAGAGGAAGACATGTTGGCAGATCACACACCCAACACCATTTGTGCATCCAGACTGTGAGAGGAACCATCAACACAACTGTTGGAAAACCCATTGATGAGCTGGCAAAGACTTGTACAGATATTGTGTAGTTGTGCCTAGGCTAATGCATGTCAAGTGCACACTTTGTGACTGTGAGGTTCATGACAGCATTTATCCTCAGTGAGGTTGTTGGCAGTAAGCAGCCGATGAGATGAGAGGAAGTGACAGACATGCAGATGATGACAGAGGACATGCAGGCTTGTCAGCAGTGTCCCCATGAGCCTGGCTCTCTGAGTCTTCTTTCAGCAGTTCCTGCAGTGCATCACGTCTCTCCTGCTCTCACTCGAGGACCGTGACCCACTCAGCTCAAGAATGGAGCAGAGGACACCGACCTCAGCAATGAGGGAGAGGAAGGACAGATGACGTAGCAGACATGAGATCTTCTCCCCAGAGCACACTGCTGTGTGGAACCTGTGTGTACTTTCCCGTCTGTGCAGGGAGGTGACTGTAATATTCAGATCAACGTGGGATGAATACGTGGATAACCAGCAGGTGGAAGCAATGGGATGCCGTGTGTTCTGGGAGGCCATCTTTGTAGCAATGCCCCTCAGGACTCTCACATCTGCCTCAGCACTGCCCTCCCTGGCACCTCCACCCCGGCTCTCACTATGTAGCAGAAGACATGCAAATAGGACCTTCCTCTACTCATTAAAACCAGCCAGCCCTGACCCTGAAGGCGTGGAGAGAGGTCAGGCTGGATTCCAGGTGAACCATTCAGGGCTCAGGCTGACACAGAGCACTCACCATGGAGCTGGGGCTGCACTGGGTTCTCCTTGTTTTTCTGATGAAAGGTGATGTATGGGGACAAGACACACTGAGTGGGAAAATGGACATGAGTGGGAGGAAACGTGGATGTGTGTGACCATTGCTGACCAGGTTTCTCTCTGTTTGCAGGTGTGCAGTGTGAGGTGCGGCTGGTGGAGTCTGGGGGAGGCTTGGTGCAGCCTGGGGGGTCCCTGAGACTCTCCTGTGCAGCCTCCGGATTCACCGTCAGTGGTTACTACATGAGCTGGGTCCGCCAGGCTCCAGGGAAGGGGCTGGAGTGGATTTCATCCATCTATGGTAGTAGTAGCACATACTACGCAGACTCTGTGAAGGGCCGCTTCACCATCTCGACAGACAACAGCAAGAACATACTTTACCTGCAGATGAACAGCCTGAGAGTGGAGGACACGGCCGTCTATTACTGTGCTAGACACACATTGCAGGAAATCCAGTGTGGGCCAGACACAAACCTCCCTGCAGGGCGCTCAGCACCAGCAGGGGGCGCTGGGCACACACTGAGGTCATGTTCAGTCAGCACCAGCAGGGGGCGCTGGGCACACACTGAGGTCATGCTCAGTCAGCACCAGCAGGGGGCGCTGGGCACACACTGAGGTCATGGCAGTCACAGGAGCAGCTGTGGAGCACTCAGGCCCTGACTCCTCCATGTGCCCAGCCCATGGCACCCTGGAAACGTGGTGTACTCCTCAGTCTCCCATGACCAGGGCCTTTTGCTAACATCTGTGGGGACATGGAAGTGGACACGAAGAGTCTGGGTTGGACTGGACAGACAACAGGCCATGTGCATGTAGACTGACCTTGCTGGGCCCCGTCTGTCCTGGGGTTTCCTCCATCACGATGGCTCTGGAGTCCTGTGGATGTCCTGTCTGGGATGGAGTCCAGGTCCCTGTGGCTCCGTCATGAGCATTGTCACTGTGCACGCGCATCGTGGGCACGAGGGGCTGGGCCCAGGTGATCTCACAGCAATCTGACTGAGCTCCCTGCATCCTGGACACCCCCACCTGCTCAAACAGGTCCTTGTTTATTTCTCCATTACATCCTGATCAGAAAAGAGCAAGCTTCACTTCCTGAACAAGAATGTGTGTGTGAACTCTACAGGCTTTAAGACTTCTACATTCTGAGGTTTTCCCCCGGACAGTTTCTGTAGATGATGAGACAAATCATTCATTTCACCAGGAGACATCCATAACTCTGTCCATGTGGAGACAGATGTGACCTCCTTTGGAAGAGAAAACTCCTGGTGAGGAGGCCCTGGTTCCCGTAGCACAGGAAGGGGACTGTAAAAGACACTTCTGTATTCACCATTGTAAAGAGTGAAGACAGGATGGGAAGATCTGTACCTAACAGAAATCATCAATAGTTTAGATAAAATCTACTTAACCTGTATTCTGTACTATAAAGTCCCTTGATTGGGGCATGTTTTCATTAGAATGAATACATAACTAAATTAATTAATTCCAAAGTGAATAAATGAGGAAAGATACAATTAACCCTGTGTGAGCTCTACTGATGTCTAGGGGCCTGCAGGTCAGCGGTGTGTAGACCTCAGGGTCCAGGCACTGGTGCCACACTGTGTTTCATGGGTCACGGGGACAGGGAAGGATCATCTCAGGGCACGTGTGAATACTTCTGATATTGGTGCTCATATTGGTTCCCTGAAAACATTTTTGAAAGTTTCTTCAGAATTTTTCCACCTCTATTGGTACAAAATTCATAATTAAGTGTAGGTGAATTTAGATTTGCACATTTCCAAAATTATTATTATTATAAATGTGATGTTCACAGGGGTTACAGTTGCATGTTATAAAGAATACATTTTTCTTTGGACAATACCACCCTTCCCTATCTCTCTCCATTACTCCCTCCATCAGTTGTATAAGTCATCGTCAATACAGTGTCTAGTGAGTACCACTGTTGCCTCTGCTCAGCATTTTCCTTCCCCTTCTGTGCAGCCCCATGATCCCGAGGGTGCAGTTACTGTGAAACCATTGTCTAAATGAAGGTAATCCACAGAAGGTCACCTCACATGGACATGTGTGTTTGTGTTTATATGAGTCCTTCTGTTTGTGTGCATATGAGTGTAAGTGATATGTGTATTCCCGCAGGTCTGTTTTGCTGGTGTGTAGAAGTACATGTAGGGTTTATCTGTGTGTGTGATAGAGACACTGTGTTGATTACATGTATTATGTCTCATGTGTGATACAGAGAGACACTGTGCTGATTGCACATATTAAATCTCTTGGTCTCTCCTCATAGCCTTCACCTCACTTCCTTCTTGGCAGGTCAGGGCCCCCAGTGGAGAGCTTGTCAAGACAGGGGTGCGATCTATGAGAGAGGAGAGGTCAGCTTTCTCCCAGTGACAGGTGACAGGGGAATGAGGGCTGAGGTCTCTAGAGACCAGCGGTCACCTCCCCCGGGGGACAGGGGACAGGGACGCTGCCCCTCGTATGCAGCCACAAGCAGGGTGCCCCCCACATGCAAATTCCCACATACACACCAAGAGAAGTCACACCCTTGCTTAAATTCAGCCTCTTCCGCACTCTGGAAATGCTGTCTGCGCATGACACGTGACCTCGTGAAGTGGAGCAGGTGTGGTTTTTGGGCTCCTGCTGGCAGCTCACAGTGGTGGTGACTTGGGACTGGGCAGGAGCGTGGGATGCGGCATCTGGGCCGAGACGCAGCTGCTCCTCTGTCCACAGCTGTGCTGTCCCAGGTACAGCTGCAGGAGTCAGGCCCTGGCCTGCTGAGGCCCGTACAGACGCCGTCCCTCTCCTGTGCGGTCTCTGGTGACTCCGTCAGCATGGTGACTGCGGAGCTGGACCCGACAGGCCTCAGGGAAACGCTGGAGAGGACTGGACACATCTATAAACATGGGAGCACCACGTACAGCCCATGCCTCCAGAGCAGAGTCACCATGCCAGTGCACACCTCCAAGGACCAGTGTTCCCTGCAGCTGAGCTCTGTGACCACGGAGGACACGGCCTTGCACTACTGTGTAGGACACACTGAGGAGACCGGTGTGAGCCCTGACACAAGCCTGCCACAGGGACGCACAGGACCCTCAGGGATGCCCAGCACACCCCAGCCCAGAGTCCATCCAGAACACAGCATGCAGCCCAGGGCTGTTGTCACCATCTGGCTGCCCTCTGTCCAGCCGACTGCCAGGGAACCCGTCTGGATCTGGAGGGCTGCCACTCCGTGGTGTCTCTGAGTTCACAATGTGATCGTGTTGCTATGATCTTCAAATGATAAAGCATGCTCCAACATCAATGAGACCAGGGCGTCGCCCTGGAAATGGCAACGACCCAGCCGTGGTCCCCAGCACCTGAGGAAGGCCAGGGGACCTGACGATCACTTTCCCATCAGCCTGGGAAGACACACTGGGATTCCCTGCTGAGGAGGCCCTGAAATTCCCATTGAAAACATGAGGGACATGGCTATGCACAGGGTCCTCCCTGCAATCCAGGCTGTGTTGGAAGTGGGGATGGGAGGATCATGGTTTGAATCCAGCCAGGGAAAACACTAGCCAGACTATATCTCAGTCAAAGGGCTGGGGTGGCGGCCCAAGCCCTCAGGGCCCCCAGCTACACCAGAGCTATGGACACAGGGTTTGAGCCCCGAGCCCAGCCTCAGTCAACACCAAGGCCCTACCCGAATAACAGCTGACAGCAAAATGAGAGGCATGGCCCAGTCACAGCACGACGGCCCAACGAGCACAGGCCTGAGTTCTAACCCAGTACTTCCAAATCCTGTGAGGAGAAGCCAGACCACCACCCCTGGAGCTAGCAAACCTTCCCTTTCTCCCATTCCTGCCTGTGCACATCCAGCTCATGACTGGACAATGGGGTAGTGTCAGTGGACTCATTTTCCTACCCAGAGACTCTCATCCGTATGTGCTCTTTTCCCTGGTCAGCAGAAATGGAGGTTGTAAGTGTTGGACTGAACCCCAGGTCAGGTGGGGACCTGGGGTCAGGTGTTGCTCAGGCCAGGGCTTCTGCAGACCTGGGGAATGTGCCAGTACCACGTCTCAGCCTGCGTGCATCAGCCCTCTCCTGCTGCCTCTCAGCAGGCCTCCTGTGGGAATGGAGGTGGACGTCGGGTCTGGAGGGAGGCTGACCAGGGGTTGTGGGATGGAGATGCAGAGCTCAGCCTTGTCCTCTCCATCCACATGGTTTCACCTCCACCGTCCGCAGCTCTGGGGAAATGTAAACATGGGCAGCCTGGTTGGGCTGTGAGGCCCAGGACCGAGTGCAGGTGTCTGTGAGTCCTGGCATTGTGCATGTCCAGGACCGAGGGCAGGTGTCTGTGAGTCCTGGCGTTGTGCATGTCCAGGACCGAGGGCAGGTGTCCGTGAGTCCTGGCGTTGTGCACTGTCCGGGCACTGCTGCTCACCCTGAACCTTGTGCTGAGCAGAGCTGCCTCCCGAGGCGTCTGCCCCGCGTCCTGGCCCCTGTGGTGCTGCTCCTCACCCTCCTCTCACACTCCCCTCCCTGAGACAAAGACAAATCTCTCCCTGTTCCCTCACTACACCATTACCCAAAGGAACAAGGCTCATTTCTTGAGGAGGGATTTTGTCTGAACTCCATGGCTTAGGAAAGGCGTCTCCCACCTGTGAAGGTTTCATCCTGTGGAATCATTTGGACAGTACACAAACCCTTCTCCTCACCAGGAGACAGCATCCTCCAGGTACCTACTGTGTGTGTGTGGAGCAGGAGGGGTGCAGTGCTCTGCTGGCCTGGGGTCCTGGTGCCCGTATGTGCCGCAGCCATGGTGACCACAGACACCACAATAAAGGCACCAAGCTGTGGAACTCAGATTTTGGCCTCAGTATGGCAAAGCCTTCCTCCAGCTCAACGCTGAGTTGTTACATATCAGAACACATTAACATACAACAGTTTACCCAGTATAGGAGCCCCCACACAGACACTATCAGTGTGAATACCACCACCATTGGTACAGATTCTTCCTGTTGATTTCCTCTCCATTCTCCTATAAGCTCCTCCAGCTTCTAGAGAAAGCTTCCTTATTTGCCCCAGGGTTAATGGTGTCAATCTGGTTCTCCCTGTTCTCCCTGAGCCCATAGATTCCCTCATCCTCCTGAAGATCCCTGCACAGACTCCTGGATGTTGGGTGATTGTCTGTTCATTTCTGGGTTTTAATTTCCGGGCTGGTAGGCAGACGTCCACTGAGCCTTTGGACCCACCAGCAAACCCACCGCCCCGTACTTTGACAGTTCCAGGCTTCCAGGCATTATCAGTGTCATCCTACCGCCATATTGGCTGACATGAAGATTGCATTGTGTGGGTCTTTCCAATGTGTATCTGCTACTGAAGGATTGCACACAGAAGTGGAATTTCAATATTCAGGGCATATAACGTCATTGCTATCTCGTGAGAGCCCCCGAAACTCAAGCTATGAGACCCAAAAGGATAGGGAGGGTGCATTGCCACCTCCCACATGAACCCTCAGAGCACTGAGACTTTCCTGAAAAGGTCACTCAGTCCTGACTTGATGGGAATGAAGATTTCTATGCTGGTGTAAGCTAATTTCACACTGGGCTTTCTGGCACCTTGGGCTAGAGAAGACTCAATTACTGCTTACTTTGGCTTGTTAAGATAAAGAGGTCATTATCACTGGAGTGTAATTAGACCACGTGGTTGGTGCTTGTAACTTTAAGGACATTGTGACCTCACTCTCTGAGGTAGCCCTGCACCCGACTCAATAAATACCATATAAAATGGCCCCAGGACACCTGAATCTGGTGGAAGGCTTCAGGCCCCAGGCACCCCAGACCTGATTCCAGACCTGTGTCCATTACTGTCCAGTCCCCAGGCACTGCATATTGCAACATGTGTGGACATAAATGACCACTCTGGATTGAACATTCCAGAACCCAGACAAAATCAGTAACAATTTCAGTACTTAGAAATGGTAAATGCTTGAGAATATAACTGTGTTTAACAGGATTTAAATAGTATACAACAGGTACATGCAGTAAACCTGACAGGCTGCCCACTCTGTTTAGTGTCAGTTCAAATAACAGATCAGGAAGAGCATCAGGAAAGTTAAGGCTCACCTTGTGGAGGGGTTGCTGGTGTCTAGGCCCTGCTCAGGAGAGGGCTCAGCCCACATGCTCCAGATGACCGAGCACCCGTGAGGGTCGGGTTCTGGGAAGGAGGGAGGGAGGGCGATGGTGCCCTGCTCCTGCTGAGATGGTGACGTTTGGTGTCCTTCTCACCACTTTGCTAAAAGTTCTCAAGGTCGGAAAGTTTTGTAATTATTTCTACTTCCGTGACATAACATTGACAATTCAAACGATGCACATTCACACTTAGAGTGCAACGTGACAATGCACACAAATGCTGTGGAACCATTGTCAACGCAGAGCTAAGGATCGTACAGCACACACAGGTTCCATTCTTTGACAGTGAGGAAGCTTGTGGTCTGCTGACTTACACATTTTCACAAATACAGACCACACAGGTGTCAAAAGCCCTCCTTTGTCTTTCTGTGCTGCATTACCACACTTCACGTGAACTCCCCAGAGTCATCTATGTTGTCACAAATCCAGGACTTCCTCCTTCCATGGATGAACAATCTCCTGTTTTGCAAAGACACCACATTTCCTTTCTCCATTCCTTCTCTCATGGACACCTGGGTTAATCTCTTGGCTTGCTAATGTAAACAATGCCACAGCAACTGAAGATAAGAAACAAATGTGCCACTGGACATTACTGGAGTTTGGAATCGATGGCATTTCTGTGTTTTTGTGCTCATGGACCGTGGTATAACTTCCAGTCACGTTCTTATTTACATTCTAACTCTCAGCCTGCTGGCTTTACATGACCCAGCTTGGCCCCCAACACTCAGTATCTCTCATGTGTTTATAGCATTTTTATTGTGCACTTTTGCACAAACAGGAACCTTGCACTATCCCTCTGCTTTCTCACTCAAGGCTGGTTCTCTCCCATTTGAGTCAGGCATCAATTTTCTTTTCCCTTTTGTATCCATGACTAGGACTCAAAGTCAGAACCTGATGCTTTCTCTCATTGACTAACCACCTAGAAACTGAGCCATGCCCCCAACACCAGGGTTGATGATTTTCTTTCGTTTCCTTCATTTCAGGGTTTTTGCTAGTTAACAGGTCCTCAGCCCATGTGTCCCACAGCAGAGCTGGCAGTCCCTCTGTGAGCACACCTGATCTCACCTGCTGACAGCTCAGCTCTCTTCCCCAGCAGGAGAGCTGCACACAGGTCAGAGCTCAGTGCCACAGTTTCTCCCCCCTGACGGCTTCTCTGCCATGTCCTGGGTCCCTAGGAACTCCCTGTCGCTGCTCCTTTCCTCTCTTCCTCAGAATCTGCTCAGCTTGTGTCAGTGGATTCTTGTTCATGGACAAAAGTGTTGTTCACCTTCAACTCACCATCTTGTCCAGCACTAGGAATCACTGTAACCAAAAGACTGATGCAAGGAAACTATTAAAGGGTTAATAATACAATTTGGAGAAGACACTAGTCACTTGTTGATAGTTACCAAATGGTCATTTACCTATGTTTTGTTATGAGTGTGACTCACTGAGGTTATTACAAGTTCACAATACACATGATTTCGTCCCAAATACACAATACATATGAATGAGAAAAATAGATTGTAACAAATGATACACCAGAGCCAACTATCAAGCCTCTGCCTGAACTCTGGCCATCCTGGTTGGTGGTCAGAATGAAGTAAAATGCGGCAAGGCCACACCTGATCTCGGCTCAGGAAGGAGGCTCTGCAGAGCTCACAGATGAGCTCCATTCTCCTGGAACACACCAGAGACTGTGGGCCCTCCTTGGCTGTGCAGGCCCAGACCAGGCATGGAGGTCATACCACGGGAGATACTGCCAGTGTGGAAACAATTCACCATTGTTTTACACTCTTGCGTGTGCACAAGGAGGTCACACGCGTGCTGTACTTTGTGTTCTGTGTGATCATAAATGCTGACAGAACGATCACCAGGCACAATGGCAGAGTGAGAGGACATGTGTGTCCCTCTGCACCCCAGACAGCTCTCAATGTTCTCACACTCTGCCTCAGGCTCCCAAGGAGCTGCAGGTACAGTGTGAACCACTGCACATGGTCAGTGCATCATGATGTCTCCAAGGTGACCATTGTTACCAAACTCCTCCAGCACAGTCACCTCTGCTCTGGGAGCCCAATCTCTAGACTCCCCCCAGAGCTGCTTTATAGCAGAGGACATGCAAATAGGATGTGCCTCTGCCCATGAAAACCAGCCCAGCCCTGACCTGAGCTCTGTGAGCTGATTCCACCAGTGACTGAGCACAGACCACCACCATGGAGCTGGGGCTGCGCTGGGTTCTCCTTGTTGCTCTGTTGAAAGGTGATGTATGAGGAGCAAGGGATACTGAGTGTGCAAATGGACACGAGTGGGAGGAACCGTGGATGTGTGTGACCATTGCTGACCAGGATTCTCTGTGTTTGCAGGTGTGCAGTGTGAGGTGCAGGTGGTGGAGTCTGGCGGAGGCTTGGTGCAGCCTGGGGGGTCCCTGAGACTCTCCTGTGCAGTCTCTGGATTCACCTTCAGTAATTCCTGGATGAGCTGGATCCGCCAGGCTCCAGGGAAGGAACTGGACTGGGTAGAAGAAATTAATACAGATGGTGGTAGCACATGGTACGCAGACCCTGTGAAGGGCCAGTTCACCTTCTCCAGAGACAACAGTAAAACACGCTGTACCTGCAAATGAGCAGCCTGAGAACCGTGAATACAGCCCTGTATTACTGTGCAAGGTACAGTGAGAGGAGCCAGTGGGCGCCCAGACACACAGGTGCAGCAGACTAGGACAGCAGGCGCTGAGTCGCGTCAGCTGCAGGTGTGGTGAGGAGGTGGCCCTGGGGTCTGTAGATGACAAGGTTGGATGGGATTCTCAGGCACAGTTCTGGATCTGGTCACTGCTTGATCCTAGAAGGACTCCTGTGTTTCTAATTGTCTCTGTGTTGTCCACACCTGTCCTTCACACTAAGTCCCCTGCAGACATGGACTGTATGCAGTCTCTAGACCCCAGGCCCAGTACCGGGACCTGGAGGTCAATGAGGCTGTGGCCCTGGCTCCTGCATGCCTGGGAAGAACTCACTGGTG